GATGCCATTAAGTGTGTATTGCTATGTATAGTCTCTGGTATCCTTGTAATAGTCCTGTTGAGGTGTTGTGTTAGGTGCAGGAAAAGTCAATGGCTTTTGCACGGAAAAACCTGCACCTGCCAAGTCAAGTGCTGGTGTGCTGTCATCTTCCTCCAGGGATGGGATGGGTCCCACAAGTGACTCCTCACACCTGACATAGGCCCGCACAGCAGAAACCACTTTCTGGCCCAGAGAAATTCTAGGGAAAAGTTTTGTGTAGCTATAGCTTTCTACTTTTGTTTGGTAAAGTTTGCATGTTACATGAGGAAAAAGATTGTATTAATTACAGTCACCAGCAATGCATGAAAGCACCCATTTTTCCATACCCTCACAGCCCTGGTCATTGCAGGATAATCTTTACTAACTGATTAGCGGATGGCATGGTTTTGTTTGTTTTAGAATTGGCACACATGAGCCTTTTCCAGGCTTCTATGGTTGTATTTTCCCTTATTGGGAATTGCCTGCTCATGTCCTATAGTCACTGATTTGTAGGAGATATTTATGCCAAAGTTATTGATCTTCTTTTACTCCAAACATTTGTTCCAGTTATTGCCTTTATTGGAAAGTGTCAGATTATATACAGTACACAGAAATAAATTCCAGGTTGAATTAAATGTTTTCTAAAATAATAGAAAATTTGAAGAGAACTAAGTTTCAAATTCTTAGTAGCTGTTAGGAGAAATAATATAAAGAGAAATATTTAAATACATAAATATAGAGACTACTGAATAAAATTAAAAATACAAAATAAATGTGGAATGCTGCTGACAAGTCAGAGGCAGATACTAATGACTGAGAAGGCTATTATCAGCATGAAGGGGACCCCAAAGGTCATTTTGGCCTCTGATGTCATCTCTCAAAAAGGCAGGCAGCTCATTTGTTCCAGTAGGTCATATGCTGCTCTGGCGCCAAGGCTAAAGAATATATAGAAAAAATTAGCCAGGCATGGTGGCACATGCCTGTAGTCCCAGCTTTTTGAGGCTGAGGCAAAGGATTCTTGAGCCAGGAGTTTGAGGTTGCTGTGAGCTAGGCTGACACCACGGCACTCTAGCCTCTGGCAACAGAGCCAGACTCTTTCTCAAAAAAAAAAAAAAAAAACCCAGCCGGGCGCGTGGCCACGCCCTGTAAATCCTAGCTCTCTGGGAGGGCGAGGCGGGCGGATCTCTTGAGCTCAGGAGTTCGAACCACCGCTGAGCCAACGAGCGAGAGCCCCCCGCAAACGTCTCTACTATACAAAATCACCACCACCCATTAAATGGCCACAAATTAAAATTAGGGAGAAGAATTAACACACAAAAGGGTGGCGCATGCCTGTAGTACAGCAGCTACTCGGGAGGCTGAGGCAGAGGATCGCTTGAGCCAGGAGTTTGAGGTTGCTGTGAGCTAGGCTGACGCCACGGCACTCACTCGAGCCTGGGCAACAAAGGAGACTCTGTCTCAAAAAAAGAAAAAAAAACAG